AGCAGGTTTTGCTGATGAGTCAGGCCGGCATTAACTGGGCAGGATGGGTCACTGCACAGCTCGAATGGTTTGTGAAGCTGTTTGTGAAAGGGGTGTGGTTTGGTGGTTTTGCAGGAAACACAGAGTGTGTACTTGGTTTGTCTTAAATCTGTTTTTATTGCCAGTTGCACGAGGCACCTTCCTGCACACTCTGTTCTCCTCCCTCACGAGACGGTAGCACCTTTCATCCCAAATGGAAAGGACTTCACTCTTGACGATCTTCCCGTGCTTTATGTAAGATGTAGTGCTTGCTTTCAGCCTCTCCCAGTTTATCGTGATCATACCCTTTTCTGCTCAGAGGTATTTTCACTTTGTCTGGTTATCCCCCCATTGCTGGGTGTTGTCTGGATGCTGTGACTTGATTCTCGATGGCAGCAGTCCACTCATGCTGTTTATAAATCTGGCAGAAATGGGAGTCGCGTAGACGTGTGGATTGTGTCCTGGAGGTGTGGCTCCTCTAGGTCACTGGCTCCCCACCAGGGCAGGGTCAGACGGGCCGTATCTGCAGACAGTTTTGGTTGTCACGACTAGGAGGAGGCTTTCTGCTAACATCCAGTGGGTGGAGACCAGGGGTGCTGTTGAACATCTGCAGTGCACGGGACAGCCCCTCACAGCAAAGGATGCCCGGGCCCAGACGTCAGTCATGCTGCTGCTGAGAAACCCTGTGCTCAGGAGGTTCACCAGGGGCACCTCCTACCAAGCAGGAGGCAGGTCTGCTGGCTTCAGCAGTCGCTCCGGGCTGGCCAGGCAGTAGACACCAGTGGACACTCACACTGAGCCCTCACATGGGTTTTCCATCAAGATACCACCAATCTCTTGATCCTGCTCTTTTTTACCAACTTCCACACCTGCCATTGACCCTGTTCTGAGTATTTCCATCTCTGTCACTGACATTCTGTTCTTTGTTCCCACCCGTGTCCTGCTGGGCAGAAGAAGAGGTGCATGGAAAGCTGGGGGGAAACCAAAGAGGCGTAGGGCACGGAAGTCACAGCACTCCGGCAACCTGCGATGCCCGTGCTCACCGCCCTGGGGTCCCACTGGGAGGGCTGGGGCGCTGGTGCTGGTGGAGGCCGGGCCAGCCCCAGGAGAGACTCCTGCCTGGAGATGCCAGTCTTCCAAGATGGCACCTTGGCACCTGGCAGGGCTCCAGCCCCGTGGCCTAACAGGAAGTGCTCAAGCGGGCCTCCCATCCAGAGTCTGTGGACCCTTCCCCCTGTTCCACCGTGAATGAACTGGGAAGAACCTTAGCGACCGTCTCATCCAGTGTCCTTGTCGCATGTACAAGGCAACATGAAAAGGGACGTTTCCACTAGCTCGTGCTCTTCTCTCCAGATGGAAGAGTGTCTGCGTCCTGCCGCTCTCGCCTCTGCTTCTCCCTTCAGGTCCTGGAGGTCCTACTCACCCCTGCACCGTAGGAAGGCACACAGAGGCCCAGCCCCCATGTGCCAGAGCGAGCAGGAAACCCAGCGCTCCTGACGCTGTGTCTGCCTGGCCCTCTGACTTGCCATGACCAAATCAGGCCAGCCAGCAATCGAGGAGAAAGTCTTAAAGACAAACGGACTGAAAACAACCATTGATTCAGAGGCCGCACATAGGTCCTACCACAGAAATGCAACTAATGTAAATTTAAGCCAGGAGGAAGACTTCTTTCACCAGTGACGTGGAACACTGCGGCGAGGGTTTATGAAGATACGAAGTTTCCATCTCCGTTTACTGTCGTCTCCGATAGTGGACCCAGGTGTTCATCAGACGTTCACGGTCATAGTTCCCGCGTGGAGCTTTATCCTGCTTAGTCATCATTTTGCTTCCGTCAGGGACATCATCCCAGCAGGCTGTTTTCAGCCCTTTTTTACAGAAGCCTCAGGCTCCCACACCCCCGTTCATCTTCACTGCTCCATCCCCTTCTTCCGACCATCCTTCACTGAATATTGTCATCGGCGTGTTCTAGAAATGGAATCCACGTGAAGAGCAGTAGCACGTGCAGAGAGAAAGTTCTGCAACCAAACTATATACTCAGCCCAGATAAAGACAGACATCAGGGACATTCTAAGTCTCGGATGAGAAGTGGCTTTGCACCCTGTTCTCTGCACGTGGCCTGGGCTGCATCTGGGGCAGCTGCTGCTGCTTAAAGCCTCCGGGGGTCCAGCTGGGAACAGAGCTGGCATCCACCCAGGGAATTTCAGGCTTTTGGTTCCTGTGCTTGTGGCTCTTAGAGTCAGTAAGGTTAGAAGGTGAGTCTTGGAATCACACAGTCCAGAGTCAAGACTGTAGTTCAGCTCTCATCACGTCTGTGAACCTTAGACAGGTTGTTTCATTCCTCCCACATGTGCCCTTCTTGTGTATAAAACAATACCACCACTCGGACCAGCTACTGTGAAGACTGAGATCATGGACACAAAGCATTCAGGTTTGGTTAAAGGTGGTAATGTGGTCAGAATCTGCTGTGTCTCGTGTGCCTTCACTAGCGTTTCTATGGCCGGGTGCTGCTTGAAGGGTGAGTGAATTCGTAGAATATACTGCTGTAGACTGAATGTTTTATCTCCCCGCCCATACATACGTTGAAATGTAGTCCCCGGTGTGGTATTTTGAGGTGGAGCCTGTAGGAGGTGATGAGGTCATGAGGGTGGGACCTTCACGAATGAAATTGGTGCCCTTATAAAAGAGGTCCCAGAGAGCTCCCCCGCCCCTTCCTCTACGTGAGGTCACAACTGTGTACCAGGACGTGGACTCTGACCAGACCCTGAATTTGCCAGCACCTGGATCTTGGACTTCCCAGACTCCAGAGCTATGAGAAATAAATGTCTGTTCCTTTTACCATCCAGTCTGTAGTATGTTGGTATAGAAGCCCAGTGGACTAAGACAGACACGAAAAGCTTGACTCTCATCCATAGTTGCTCCATCGGTCCCTGAGATATATTTGCCAGGAGCCCCGGTCAGCAGTCAAAGCTGTGCACTGGTGGAAGTAGAAGTTTCTAGGTGGAGTTTGATGGTGGGCTCAGAGCGGTGTCCCACTGCCCAAGGTTGGAGCTGGCGACTGGGGTCTGTCAGTTACCCTCAAGAGATCGCGGCGCCTGGTCGGTCAAAGGGAAAGAGGAGCTCGAGGGAATGACTGCAGAGGGTTACATGAATTTGGAGCAAGTTCTAGTAGCGTCACTTGGCCAAGAGGAGGCACCGTGTAAGGGCTGGCTGGGGTTATTTTAATTGTTACTACTGCAGTGGACGTGGTCCTGCACTAGACCTTACGAAGATACCAGGAGGATAAGAAATGGCTCTCGGTCCAGGGCTCTTTCCCATCAGCTGGTGGAGACACAAATTCAGAAAAGGTGAGTGGCGCTGTCAGCCACGAAGTGATGAATTCTTAGGAGAGAGAGAGAAACCACTGTGGCCCAGAGTGTGTTTGTAGGCAGGGGTCCATGAGGTGGATGGGAGGCGGTGATCAGGCCAAGAACCCATTTGGTCCTGCTCCATCTGTTAACCTGCAATTTTTCTAGTCTACACCTTGCCGGAAACAGTGATAAAGGCTTAGAGGTGACATGTTGTGTGGGGTGGCAGAGACCCAGGGAACAGAGTCATTGGTAACACAGGGGTGGTTGCTGTCTTCTGGAGGAGTGGGTAGGGGACAGGAAGGCAGAGAGAGAGGAAACAAGTTAGAAGGAAAAGATGAGGCTGATAGTAAAGGGCCTTTGCTCACCTCAGAGAGCAGGAGCAGAGGAGCCCTGTGGGGGAGGGAGCCTCCAGGCGGCTCTCCTGTGCAATCTAATTTAGGTGGTTACAGTTTTGTGAAGACATTTACAGAAATCAATAGCCGTTATGATACTGCTCTTGAAATAAATATCAATCAACTGCATATTTTCTATACTTTTAATAATCAGACCATGAGCATGAACAGGAGAGGCTGAGGAGGAGGGAGTGGGGAGAGAGAAGGGTGGAGACTGCAGACAGAAATCTCGGTGGAGGAACATTCCCATCTGGTGAGCGTTTCGTTTATTGCAAAGTCTGGTTGTATTTGGATAACGAAAGGCAGGAGCACCAAGGATGCTGAATCTGGGGGAAGCCAGGGCCAGCTGGCCTCCCTGTTTTGCTGATGGAGGTGGTGTCCTAGGAACGGGAGTGTGGGAGGCTGTGTGCAGGCCCCAGAGGCAGGGAGACCCCCGTGACCCCCCAAGCACGCAGGATGAGCCGGTGGTGACGGGAAGGCGCTCAAAGCCGAGGTATCTTGGGAGCAGGATTCCCGGGACCCCCACATGCGAGGGTTGACAGAGCAGAAGGGAACTCTGCCTCGGAACAACCTCTTCCCCAACTCAGACCCCTAGAGCCTCCTGCCCTGCCACCTTCTTTGTGCAGTCACCATCCTGACTCTCCTCCCCACGTGTTCATCCAAGCACCTCCAACCACACCTTGTCTGCGAGCACACAGACATCTGTCTTGCCAAGTGTTAATCACCAGCTTCTACAGAAACGGCTGATGGGGGTGGAGGCGGTGTGGGCGGGGGAGGGGAGCCAGCACATCTTAGCCAAAGGGAAATTCCCTGTTTTTCTGTAAGATGACTCAAGTCCACACCGGTGGGTCCTGAACAGCCTCTTTTTTCCGGCACAGTTGGTGGTGAGGTTCATTTGCCACGAGGACTGGGAGCGTAGCACAGACAGACGCAGCGGAAGGAGCAGTGGAGTCTGATTTCTGTAACAGAAATGTGTAACCATGGCAGATCCGGCCTCAGTTTCTCTTTTAGTAACAATGAAAGGGCTCCGCCTTTACAGCTGTTCTTCGGTCCCGTGCAAGCACAGGTTTCCCTCTCTCTGCCTGACCCCGCCCGCGACACCCCACGTCAGCAGCCCGGCGTCCACAGCCGCTGCCCGCCCCAATAAGTAGGCGCGTCCGAAATCAGCGCGGTGTCGCCTTTGCTCTCAGTGGCTGTGGTCAGCCCAGGCCTCACGGACCCTGGCGCCCCTGTCTTGCTGCAGGTTTTTCCCACTCGGCGTTCACATTCGGTATCGAGAGCCACATCAGCCAGTCCAACATCAACGGGACGCTAGTGCCACCGGCTGCCCTCATCTCCATCCTGCAGAAGGGCCTGCAGTATGTGGAGGCCGAGATCAGCATCAACGAGGTACGTGCGACGCCCGGGAGACGGGGCGGGGCTGGGGAAACGCATCCGACCTTAGCGCTCAGTTCCCTAGCGGCGGCCGCGGGGAGGGCTTTATCCCTTCGCGTTAGTACTTGGTCGGGTTAGTGGCTGCGGCTCCTACGCGGCCCCGGGAGCGAGCTTCCAAGGCCCTTTAGACGGTGGTGCTGCTGTATCCATGCGCAGCGTGGCCAGTTGTCGACTGCTCGTCTCAATATCACAATACACTGCCCAGGCTGAAAAACGCGCCTCAAAGTTTCAACTGCTTTATGCAGTCGTCCCCAGGGATCCTCCGGGGATTAGTTCCACGACCTACCATGGATACCAGAATTCGCAGTGCGCAGGTCCTATACGCGGCATCCCGTACCCGCGGATTCTGCATCCGCGGGTTCTGCAACCGCGGATTCTACCACCGCGGATTCTACCACCGCGGATTCTACCAACGGCGGATGGTAAACACAGTTGTTTACGTATTGAAAAAAGTCCACGGATAGTGCGTGCCCTGCCTTTCAAATTCATGTGGTTCCAGGCAGGCACGGGCCTTGCACGTGCACAGAAAATGCCCTTCCTTCTTGTTTTCTTTGAGCAGTTCAGTTGAAGAGGGGACCCCGCCCCAAAACATTTGCATAACATCTAATATATTTCCCTTGAACCCGACATACGGCACAATAGAGAATCAGGGAGATGAAATGGGGCCTGTTGTTAAAGAGAATTTCAAGGGATGGTTTGTTATCTTGTCCATAGCAGACCTGCTGGAACAATCATCATAAATTTAAGTCGCTCCAGTTTGTGTACATACCCTGCCTCTTTGTAGATTGGGGCACAGTGAGTATTGGGCCAATTTTACACCAGTTTGTAAATGAGTTATTTTGGTTTAAAACAGTTTGCCTCACCCCCCTCTGCTTTGCTCTTGGGATTCTCCTGTAAAGATGCCCAGGGCTTCCTGTGACTGCTGCGGCCCTCCTCGCATCTCTGTCTGAGTCCCTCTCATTTTTGCCGCACTTCCTGCCCCCTCTTTTTCTTCGCCTCATTTCTCCCGCCTCGATCAGACTCGCTCTCCCTACCCAGCTTCCCCAAATCCCCTTACAGTCAGTCCTGCACAGCTGACGCCGTTGGATGCCCATGTGTTCCTCTTTGGCACCAAAAGTTCCAGGGTCGCAGGCTCCTGCGGCTGATCCTCCCAAGATCCCATCACCCTTGAGCACATCTCCCTGAATCCTTCCACCGTTCCCTCCATTCTCCCTTCCTTTGAACTGACCTCATCCTTTTAAGCCTGCCTTATTCGTACCATTTAACTCCGCTTTCTCTTTAGCTTTTAAAACTACAGAAGTAATGCGTTTTATCCACCTGTGTTTTGTCACATGGGTTCCTCTGTTGTTTTCCAAAACCCGTTTAAACACCGTGTGTCTGTACTTTTAAAAAAAATTTAGCTGCATAGTCTTCTTTAACTGAAGTATAGTCAGTTTACAATGTGTTAATTTCTGGTGTACAGCACAGTGATTCAGTTACACATATATATGTATTCCTTTTCATATTCTTTTTTCATTATAGGCTATTACAAAGTATTGAATACAGTTCCTTGTCCTATACAGTAGGACCTTGCTGTTTATTCTTCATATAATAGTATCTGCAAATTTCAAACTCCCTGTTTATCCCTCCACCTGCTCCTTCCCCCTTTGGTAACCGTAAGTTTGTTTTCTATGTCAGTGAGTCTATTTCTGTTTTGTAAATAAGTTCATTTGCCTCATTTTTTTACATTCCAAATGTAAGTGATATCATACGGTATTTTCCTTTCTCTTTCTGGCTTCACTTAGTATGACAGTCTTCAGGTCCATGGACATGACATTATTTTATTTTTTTATGGCTGAGTAGTATTTCAGTGTGTGTGTATAATATAAAATAATAATAACATAAAGTATATTGTACACACACAAACACAAGTTAACTTCTTTATCCAGTCCTCTGTTGATGGACGTGTAGGTTGTTTCCATGTCTTGGCTATTGAAAATAATGCTGCTACAACCATTGGAGTGCATATATCTTTTTGAATTAGAGTTTCCTCTGGATATATGCCCAGGAATAGGATTGCTGGATCATAGGGTAAGTCTATTTTTAGTTTTTAAAGGATTCTCCACACTGTTTTCCATAATGGCTGCACCAAACTACATTCCCACCAACAGGGTAGGGGGATTACCTTTTCTCTACACCCTCTCCAGCATTTACCGTTTGTGGACTTTTGAATGATGGTCATTCTGACTGGTGTGAGGTGATAACCTCATTGTAATTTTGACTTTCATTTCTCTGATAATTAGCAATACTGAGCATTTTTTCATGTGCCTATTTGTATGTCTTCATTGGAGAAATGTTTGTTTAGGTCTCCTGCCTATTTTTGATTAGATTATTTTTTTGGTTTTGGGGGTTTTGTTGTTGTTGTTATTTATGAGTTGTATGAGCTGTCTGTATATTCTGGAAATTAAGCATCCTTTGTAAATATTTTCTCCCATTCCATAGGCTGTCTTTTTATTTTGTTTAATGCAAAAGCTTATAAGTTTAATTAGATCCTGTTTGCTTATTTTTGCTTTTATTTCTGTTGCCTTGATAGACTGCCCTAGGAGAACATTGCTAAGATTTATGTCGGAGAATGTTTTGCCTGCGTTTTATTCTAGGAGGTTAATGGTGTCTTGTGTTTAGGTCTTTAAGCAGTTTTGAGGTTATTTGTGTATGTGGTGTGAGGGAATGTACTGACTTCATTTATTTATATGCAGCTGTTCAACTTCCCCAACACCACTTGCGAAAGAGACTGTCTTTTCTCCATTCTATCTTCTTGCTTCCTTTGTCTCAGATTAATTGACCATAGGTATGTGAGTTTATTTCTGGGCTCTCGGTTCTGTTCCATTGATCCGAACGTCTGTTTTTGTGCCAATACCATGCTGTTTTGAGTACTGTAGCTCTGTAGTACAGTCTGAATTCTGGGAGGGTTTTCCCTCCAGTTTTGTTCATTTTCTTCACTATTGCTTTGGCAATTGTGGGTCTTCTGTGATTCCATGTAAATTTTAGGGTTATTTGTTCTAGGTCTGTGAAAAATGTCCTGGGTAATTTGATAGGGATTGCATTTAATCTATAGGTTACTTTGGGGAGTATGGCCATTTTAACTATTAATTCTTCCAATCCAGGAGCATGGGACATCTTTCCTTTTCTTTAAATCATCTTTAATTTCCTTACTCAGTGTTTTATAGTTCTCAGCATATAAGCCTTTCACTTCCTCAGTCACGGTTTTTCCTAAGTATTTTATTTTTTTGATGTGATTTTAAAAGAGGTTTTGCTTTTACTTTCCTTATCTGATATTTTCCTGTGCTCTTTCTTGCCTGACGACAGGCAGTCTCCTCTTTTCTTTTCTTACATTGGATGCCCAGGATCTTCCACTGGCTCCTTGAGGCCCCAGCTAGTCTTTTTTAGCAAAACAAACAAGCATGAGATAGGAGTACAGGCCCCCGGAGGCCCCACCAGCTCAGATGCTGCGACTGAATTTCCCTGCCCCTACCCTAGTGTCCATGTCTTTGATCTGCTAAGATTCCCCCATACCTTCTCTCCCTTGGCAATTCAAAATGCAGTATGTCCAGAGACGAATGAAAGATTGTCTCATTTGTCACATGGGTTTCCAGTTGTTAAACTGAGGTGTGCTTTTAGAGTTTAAACCAGGAGTGTTTTATTACTCTGGGCAGTTAGTACCTTTTGTGAAGTCGTCATTCATTTGGGGCATGAATATATGAAGAAGAGAAGTGACGTAGAAGCTGGCTGGCCAGTCGGTCAACATTGGCCACTCTGTGGCCAGAACTGGGTGGCTGACCAGGTGACTGGCTGCACTTTCCCTTGTTCAGTATTGTTTCCTTGTTTTCAAATCTTGTAAAGTAACCAGCAGTCAACTGGGGTGAGGTTTCATTTAGGTATTGTGTAGCTGAAACTCATACCTTCAGTTCTTCCTAATTTATGAGGAAATGTGCAGAAACGCTTTGCACATCCAGCAGTCACAACTGAAAGGCGCTGACGTTCATGTGACGAGTATTTGGAGCACTTTCTAAGGAAAGATCTCTCTCCTGTGTTTTCAAATGTGTATGGTAATTTCTTCATGGTAGATGGAAACCGGAGACACAAAGGAGGTTCACAAAGTAGGTATTGGAAGAAAACAGTGCTGCTGTTAGCAGATCACAGCTGAGTTAGTGAACAGCCTGAGCCCAGGAAGGCATTTCAGGCGGCTGTGAATATGCACTGTATTAGCTCAGATGGACAGATGTATTAGGAATCAGATCCTGAGTGGTGCAGAAATGTGTAATTCACACCTGAGGCCTCCAGAGAGCTACCTCTGTCACTTAGGCGGGGACTAGTTGCTCACTGTCCTAGCCTCTGGGCAGGGTTTCGCACCCTCGGCACTCCTGATCTTTGAGGGCCAGGTGGGTCGTTGCTGTGGGGCCGCCCCGAGCACTGAAGGATGTTGAGCAGGATCCCTCCTCTCTGCCCACCGCACGGCAGCAGCCCCTCCGCAGTGTGACAACCGGAATGGCTCCAGACTTTGCTCACTGTCCCGTAAGGGGGTAAAATCCCCCCACCCCGCCCCTTTTTGCAAACCGTCTTCCCATGACAGGACCTGAAAGGGCTCAGGTGTCCCTAATGCTAGGATGCGGGCTGGGCGGTTTCGGGAACATCGGGCCTCCCCCTGACGCAGGGGCGACACCAGTCCTCCGGGGATGCGGGCCCTCGCCCGCCGC